TCTTACTAGCTATACCGGCTTGAGTCTGAAACCAATTCAAAAAAGTTTAAGTCACACTTAAACAGGTTAGATCTACAGCTATACATGACGGATGTATGACCAATTTCTATGTTGCACTACGGGTCAAGGAAAGTCGTAAAACTGATGGTTTGTTAGGAACATCCAAAAGGATAAAGGGGAGGTTAAGGGATTAACAGGGAGGGTCTTGCTGCTTGGGAAATTTGCGTTAGTTGCGTCGCTGGTAAAGTTGTTTCCTGGAAAACTTAAAGGAAAATGTATAGTTACTAGTGCAGTTTTGTCCATCTTTGTAAAATCCCTCTTTGCAGGTGCAGACGTAAGATCCCTGGGTATTGTTACACACTGCGTTGACGTCACAATCAGGTGGAACTGCGTTGGCACACTCATCTATATCTAAAAGAACAGAAATGAACTTTCTTATAACTAGGTTCCTTTGAAGTTCTCTTGATCAGAATAGAGTCTTCACTCTACATTAGACTTTTTTAAAGTCTTTAGCGGTTGTCGGTACTCCTGGAGCGAGCTTGCTGATCCCTTCCTCACCGCGCTCCTCGGCTATGGGTTTTAAGCGTGGCGGGGGAGGTTTTTGTCCCTTCGAGTTTGGCTTTCGCAGTTAGATTTGTGAGAAAATCTAAAAACGCGCCTGGCTTTTGTCCTGTCAGAGTCTAATCCATATCTAAAGCACTGGCTACCCAAACCCAGTCCACATTGCGTCGTAGAGATATAAGGACTTTCGCGCTGATTGTTTCTGCGCATCCTTACTGCGCACGCAATTTCACTCTCCACGTCATGCACGAGAACGCGCGCTAAGTAATAAAATGAACAATGATAGGACAGATGACCATTGCTATAGCTTTCCCTGGATTTAACGATCTTGGACGTTCGGTGACCCCTGTTTTTTCTTTTGATGGATCATTTTCTCTAACGATTTTCTAAGTTTAGCGAAAAAATGAAGAAAATCTATTTACTAGAAGTTTGAATCTTTTGCAAAATTCTCGAATTCCGTTCTTTTTAGCCCTTCGTTTATCTGTGCGACGGTCTCAAATGCCTCTTGAAGGGTTAAGTTTTGTGAAAACGGTACAATTTGGAATTACTGTTACGCAACAGACCCACTTCTACAAAATATGACTAAGATCGTTTCCCTCCGTTGACTCACCTTCGATTTTTTTTAACTATAAACCCCTGTAGACCATGCGGAATTACGTGCGCCAAATTTTCAAAATCAAGGTAGTTTTCCAAACGCATTATCTCTGAAATGAAGTTGGTGACCCTCAATTTTTTTGCATTTCTGACACGTGTAACTCATTATCTGACTGCTGTGAAAATTTAAAAAAAAATCTATCGCCTGGAAAATTTTCGCGTGAACGTCCCTAATAACGGCATTTTCACTCTGAAAACGCATCATATGTTTTCTGTCTACACTACACTGGAGGAATTTTGGATTTGTATTTTAGGAAGACTCTGACATAAGAGAAATCACATGATGATCGTGACGTCATTGTTTTCAAAAGCTCCGTTTTCAAAATGTTTTCCGTTCACACTAAACCTCACTAAAAGTCAGCGTTTTTAAATTCCTCCGGTTTGGAGCATTTTCGGCAAGCTCCGGTTTCCCTTGCGGATTAGTGTGGACGGTACTAGCCTAACTGTAGAAATACAGCTCTGTTTTCAAATTTCTCCAACGTAGCGAGGAAGGGGACTCAAAGGAACATCACGCGCAGCTCTTTGTTTAAATATACAACTTACCCGTGCAGGTTATTCCATTGCCAACAAATCCATCTTT